TTTTCCTTTAACCAATCACTAAGATTTTGGGGTATATGATACGTCCATGGAGAGAAAAGCTGGTCAATATATTTCTGAGAAATTGGTAATCATTTGTCAATGATTTCTCTCATTGGCATGACAAAACTCCATTCTCCTGGTATGATCAGCAGGAAAAGTCTCATGCTTGTTTTGGTTTTTAAATGGCTCGTAGCCATGTTTCCTCAAAAGGCGCCTGACTGTAGTGACCAAGTGACCGACTTCTGATCCGGAATTATTCGAAGAAGGTTGGGGATCCTATCCTCTCTTTGAAATGTCCCTTCGACATAACCACAAACAGCCTCGTACACGGCAATCTTGTCCTCTGCTACCATAGTACCTTTTTGTTCCCGAGTGTATGTGAAACTCATTTTGAAAATCCGTGACCTCTACTGACGGTTCCATTCAAAGGAATGACCAAATACGAAATAGAATAGCTTTTAGAGATCTTAGTGTTTCCAAATGTAGGAAAATCTATTCCGTCGTCGAGAGTCGTTGATCTCAGAGGTCATTTGGAGGTCAACTTTGTAAATTCATATAGCAACCACTATTTCTAGCAGCAGACTCATGTCGAGCGCGCGATTTCACATCAGAATGCATTTCCATACATGAGGTCAAGCTGTCGTAAATTTCTCAATCAACATGGAAAAGAATACGAATACCCCGAAAACGTGTACCAAGTATTTTTTGGAACGAAGGTTAAGAAAACTTTGTTATTCAAAAAAAAATTTGTCGACCACCTCAAAGATGACCTGGAAAATGACATCAAAGATTATTTAGATGTCAAGTTTATGAATTCAGATATTAACCACCATTCTTGACAGCAGATTAGCCAGATCCACACCGGACCATCCAACGTGCTCCGATCGCGCGAAGCAGGAACGCTCTCCACAGGAGCGTTTGGTGTGGACGTGCTTCGCGCGATGCAAACTACGCAAGAAAATTCAAACCGTCAGACAAGTACGATTCATGACACATGCCCCCGAATCTCGGATCGGGAATCCCAAGTTGGTTCGATTTCACATCAGAGTTCATCTTCATACATGAGGTACATAGAAAATTTGCCCTAGAACCCGTTTCAAAGGCGTGGTAACTTAAAGAGTCCTTATATATATTTTTTTTTCGAAAACTGTGATGGTGACACGCAGTAGAGTTACTAAAATGTATGCTTGAATCCGAGACACTGTCCGAACCCAGTTCCCATACAATAGAATTTCAAATGAAAAGGGATTAATACATACCACTTGTTTTATTACATATTGAAAAACCCTTCGTTCAAGCGGCCATAAACGAGAATATGAAATACAGCGATTGTCGTGAAGTCGTTAACAAGAGTGGTTGGCATAGCGGTGTACAACTACTTGTTTGAAAAAAGAAGCTTCTGGACTATCATGAAGGTGGAAACCTTCTCTTGGAATGTACAAGTCGAGGTGTTGTCAAGAGAACCAATGATGCAATCCTTGCTTCTAAGATTCTGAATATTTTTTTGTTTCACCCCTTTCAATTAAATACAAGTTTCATTATTGCTTGTCCTCTCATGCGGCAATGACTGTACCTGATGTACGCACAAAAACCAATATAGTGAAAGCGGAATAAGGGCTGTGCGCTCATAATTGCAGACAACCTAAATCTTTGTCCCTCGTGTGCCAGACTGCCTAAGTGTATGCTCATATATGACTGGTATGGATCATATAACTGCAAACACTACATACACTTCATTTATTTAGCTTTATTTTTATTTCTTACCCCTTTTTCGGTAAAACATCTGGAACTATCTGAATTATAAATATCTCATTCTGGTAGAAATACCGAAAAATTGGTAGGTTCGGCAACATAGCAAAAATCGCTCATCTATGGAGGTGGAAACCTTGCCTTGGAATGTATGAGATACGGTGTTGTCAAGCGAACCAATCATGCAATGTTGCAGAAGTTGTGGCGATCCTGACCTTTCATTTCGACCTAAATTGGAGCGCCGATAATACCGGAATCGATCCCAAACAGATTCGAGACAATTCACAATTCAAAAATGTGTACGCTCAAAATAAAACCAATATTTATATTTTCAATATGCATCTTAATCCAAGGAACTGGTGCAGCATACTGGCATCGTGGCAGATTGCACGACCTTCTTCGTCACCGTTGCTAGGCAACGTAATGATGACCTTCGCTGGTCAACCGGCTTCTATCTCTTTATAACATATGTTCCTATACACTCTTCTTTTTTTTCTCCCTCGTACACATTGTACTCGCTCCCGTCAGCCAAACGTGAATCTTACCGTATATGATGAGACAGAATTACTGAGGTAGGAGGCGTATAAATATACTTTCCAAAAATTGCGCTCATCCACCCTCAATTTTTAACCCCTACAAATGTTTGTCCGAAAATGGTCAGGATAGGCTGAAAAATTTCATCGAAATTCGAGCGGTACTTCTCAAGTTATAGGAGGTTGATATATACGCTATTAGACACATTTCACACATCCTAGATTTCTCTGCACATTATCCCTTAGAAGGATATCATCAGCAGACGAATCACATACCTACCGGTCGCGGCTGCTCCTCCCGTGCAGCCGGCCTTGGTCGCGTCACACAAAATATAAATACGGAAAGAAGGACAACTCAATCCAGTTTGACTGAAAACATTCCAGGATATGGAAAAAATAGCATTATTAAAAACCAGAACTGGGACAGTAGCACTTATAGAGCAGTATAATCGGGAGTCAGTGAAGGTAGTTTTGGGAGGTACATCTTTAGCGCGGTTATCTTCAGTGCAGCTCAACCTAAATTCTAGGTAGTGCTGTTATTTAATACACGCATTTCTGCGAAGGTTTGAGTTACCTTACAGGTAGATGTGTACATGCAGTTTTTTCACACTATTTTGGGTAAGTCACTTTAGCGCATATCGCATATACATATTTCATTTCTTATTTTAAAATGAAAGACTAGGATGTAATTTTTACGAAAATATCATTTTTTCTTTAAGGAACCCTCTGCTTGCTATTTAACAGAACTTCAAACTTGCATTTTTGCTGGTAATACTCTAGAATAGAATACTGTTTATTTATTAAGTTATATTAAGAAATCATCACTAAGGAAAATAGATGTGAAACTGCAAAACATCGTTGGTTTTTTTAAGAAAAAGGTTAAAAATTAGCCGTATGATAAGCTGAAATGACAGTTCCAAATATTCAGACTATACTTTAGCGAATAAAGGCCGAACTTCTTGTTTTTTTTTTTCGGAAAAAATTGAAAAAATCGGCAGAAATGATAACTTTTTTTAAGGTGAAACTATTAAAAATCGTATTTTGCAAAAAAAGTTTCAAAGCTAGTTGTATAATAAGCTAGAATAACAGTTCAAAATACATGCCGTAAATGATGGTATTTACTTGGTAAACTGTGTAGAGGTATTGTATTGATATTTTTTTAAGAACTTTCTTAAGCATTTTGTTTCTCGTATTTTCAATGAGATCAAAGCTTTTGCGTTTATAGGGTATATTTGGAAGTACAAACAATTCTCAATGGCAATTTTATAACGTTCATTTCTTGACAGGATAAATGATGTCCATTGTTGCCAACTTGTACTTTTTTGGGGGAAGAGAAAAATGAGGTAATTTGTAAAATATAAGTCTTAATTTATTTAAATGGCTTGTTTTATGATTATCCCAATATTTACTGCAAATATATATATATATATATATATATATATGAATGTTTAGTAGGTAAAGGGCTGAACTTGTATCATTTTTAAATGCCTTCAGCCCTTTTTTGTAACATATCTCATTTAAATGTATTTTGCTAGTATTTTCACCTAACTGTATGTTGCAAATAAACATTATTATTATTATAAATACAAAAAGTAAATAGATTATAACTACAGGGTGGTCGATATGTAACGGACTGGTTTGTATCTTGAATATTTGTGAAATTAAATAAAATACGTCCATTTTTTTATCCTAATCTTGTATTGAAACTCAGAAATTATGTATGAAAAATAATGTCAGACAAATGTCCGCCTCTAGAAGCGGCGCAAACCTGTGCACTCTTGATTACATTTTCCATCACTTTTTGGTAGGTTTCGGGAGGAATATTGCCAATCGCTTCCGTAATATTGTTCTTCAGCTGCTCTACAGTATTTGGCATAAACCCTATTTTAAAAGAATCCCCATAAAAAAGTCAGGAGCTGTTAAATCCACTGACCTTGTATACTATAGAAAAAAAAAAACAATAACCGAAGCATTTTTGTGAAAAAACTGTATTTAGTTAACGCTATCGTAGGACACGAGGTAAACTATTTAGTACTACAGTAGCACCTGCTGCTCACACCTCTAAATTGCATTTTCATGGCAATCCTGTGCCCATTGCACATTTATGCGCTAGTATGTAAGTAATAATTTGATAAACCAAATCAACGTAGATTATATTACTATCCATGATTTGGCAACATCGCAACTAGATGCAGAAATTATGATAGTGATGGTGGTATAGTGATGGGAATATTTATCTGAAATAAATTAAATGACTACTTAACAATGTTCTATTTTCATCATTAAAATAATGCAAAATTCCATTGTTGCCATGAACAGAGTCACAGTAATATACAGTTTATGTTATATTCATTTAATGTTGATCATTCTTTTGTGTAAACAAGAAAAAACCAGCTTATAACCAGAGAATTACCATCCAAAATGCAACTTTTTGAAGTTCTATAAAATAGCAAGCAGAGGGTTCCTTAAAGAAAAAATGAAATTTTAGTACAAGTCACATCCTAATCTTTCATGTTAAAATAAGAAATAAAATATTTGCGATATGCGCTAAAGTATAATAGTTCAGCCCTATTTTGAACTACTCAATGAGCATTTGTTGGTGAGCCCTATACTTTGAGTCCCGACCCCGATTTTCCTTCCGTGTCTGTGACTATAGTAAATACATTTCTGGGAATGTTTTCAGATGCTACAGCAACATAAAATATAACTACTACTTACCTGTAATTTTACCAAATCGCCATTGCTTCTTTAAGTTATTCCTTTTCGCGTACACTTGTTTGAAAAAAATCGTGAAAATACGAAATAGCAAACTAACATATTGACAGGCAGTCCGTCAATGGTGACAGTGGTGACACTGGTGATGAATGACTAACTACTACTACTAACTAAAAACTAAATATTTAGTTCTATGATTTTGCGACTCTGTGGAATCCAATGCAAAATGCTTCGCTGCCATTTAACCCGTGTTGCGCGTTATCAGGCAGCAGTTAATCCCAAGCATATCCATGGACTCAATTGTATGGACCTGTTTGACTGACTTTTTTCTCAGAGGGGTTTAGTTTGTACTGAACATAATTCCGTATGAACTGATAACTGTGTTGCTTGGAAAGTGCAGTCAACCTACTTGATGGCATTTTTGATATATCTTTTAGTTCTTTCGGTTTTGGTTGTTTTGTGGGGTTTAGTTGTTCATTGAGTGTTAGTAAGAGAGCAACTGAAACCTGCAATAATGTGCATTAACCTTAACAATTTTTGATGGTCCGCTATTTTTTTCCCGAGATGAGCAGCTCAGACTGCACGTCTGAAATGCGTTACTTTAATTCACACAAGTTATATGTGTTGCATTCATATCGAGTAATTGCCCGGCCGAGTAATTTAATACTCGGCGAAACCCGGTACTTGGTAAAATGGGCCGAGTACCGGATACAAACCAAGTACTTAGTGCATCCCTACAGTTTTCAAACCATCACTTCATTACGCTTTTTCAGCCATTCAATACCAATGCCATTATATCTCCATAATATACTGACAGCTACGTGTATTGGTTTAGATTGAATAATTTGAACTACCAGACTACGTCTCATTTTTCATAGTTAAAAAGAAACCATAAACGCTCATACATTCATGCAACGTATCCGTATCCTTTCCGATATCGTGGAATTTGATTTTTGGCTTTTCTAGGGCTATCTCGTACTCTCTGGGAGAGCAGTCGTCCGAGTAGGTGACCAAATCAGATTGCTCGTGCCAGAAAACCAATTTGTGGTGCCGCAAGGTAAGATTTACATTAAACTCAGCTATGGAATTGATAAGCTAAATTTGTTTAGAAGGTTTCAGACAAAAATAAAAAACTCAGCCTGCAAACTTTGGTGAATATTTGTGTAAGACATGAGACCCATTTTTTTCAGGTTTGCCGTACAGTATTACGAATAGCAGCGCTGAAAACTTCAAGCTGCTGCGGTGTATTCCTAGAGGCTCGACATTTAAGTGACCGTGGAAAAAAGAGGTATCCTTTGGTGTTTGGACCACACCTTTTAATATATCGGTGACCTATCGATCGTGCCAAATAGGCGCATCCTTGACATGTGGGTAATTTTGGCAGGTACGTGGGTGGTGATGCAAGGGTTCAACGGATACATGGTCCTACTGATGAAATGTACGGTTATAGAAAATTTTTAGCAGACGGCGTGAGTTTCGAACCTGAAACTTCTTGCACGAAAAGCGAAATAATCTACCTATTACAAGCTATCACTGGTTGTTATTGATTGTTCAGTATTCGGTGAAGGCTCTTTTCATCAATTTTGGCGGATTACGGTAAAACTACAGATAACACTTACATATACAATCTGCTTCTCTATGCAGACTTCTTATGTAAGCTCATAGACATAAAATTTTTAATTCTGTCTCACTTCGAAAAATTTGTTACGTAAAAGTATCATACTACTAAGCTTGTTACTGTCGTGAGAGCGTGATTTAAGCTTTCCTTTTGTTGATCTTCTATACAAAACATTGCAATGGCTGGAAATACATTGTCCACAAGTTGCGCTAAAATTGGCGCAGAAAGGTAATGAAGAAATGCTACGAGTCACGTCATATGTGCTCGACGGAGTAGCATAATTGAAAATCACTTCGTGCAATGTGCAATTTTCCTCACGTAGGAAATTTTAGATAGTTCAGCTTGTCGACTCGAATCATTTATCTCGTATTATAATGATACGTAATAACCAAAAATACCTATATAAATCGGAAAACCTTGAGAGAAAAAAGACTTTTCTACGCAACCGACACATTTTACTCAGACTGGGTACCCCTTATGGACAAAAATGGGTAGTAAACTTTTAGGAAAATTCCGTATAAAAACTTTCTGCCTACTTTTTATTGATAGACAGGTGGAGTAATTTTATCTCACCATAGTATTTCAGAAATATTCATGTTATGTCCTTATTCAGTTTCATCAGTGACGTCGAAATTAACATAGCCTGTATCTTAGCAATGGGGCATTTAGGCCCGATATTATTAACAGGAGATCCAAATTCTTGATCAGTATCATAATGAACCAATGAATCCTTCTAGTAATGGATCTAATGAATATAGTCGATTTTTCCAAAAATATCTCTCAAACTAGCGAAGAAGTATACGATTTGTGCAAGAAGAGCCGTTATTCCCATATTAAATCAAAAACATATTTTTCAGTTGATCCGGAGATCAAACCTATAATCCGACCAATTAGAAAGCATTTTCTTAAAACTGCGTCGAAAATTGGCCAATCCGAGAGGAGCTTTTAAACCCTGCCCGAATCTTTATTGAAAATAACAGTGTATTACTCACCTGAGAGAAGCACTTTTATAAAAAAAGATATTTTAGAAAGTGTATCCACGTGTAGATTGTGGATTAAATTACCGTCTAATGTTCATCATACTCTGTGTGTGCGCGATATTTTTGCAGAGAATTGGCAATCGTATTTTTATTAAACCTATTTCTGTATGCATACTCGTATAATGTATATACGTTCCTTGGTGAAAAGACAGAATGCAGGCAAAT